AACCATATAATAGAAAATTAGGCTCCAAGTGGGTTCCCTAGTAAGGGAGCAGGGGCTGTCTCTGACATGAAGTCAGTGGCTGGCTCTGTGATCACCTCCCCCTGGTGGGGGGAGCAGCCTTGCCAGGCCACAGAGGAAGACAATGCAGCCAGTCCTGATGAGACTGATAGGCTAGGGAAGGGGATGAGGACCTCCCTATCCGTGGATTAGGGAAGGGGCATAGGAGGAGAAAAGGGAGGGTGGGTGGGACTGGGAGGAGATGGCTATAGCCAGGACACAAAGTGAATAAAATATAATAATTAATAAAGAAAAAGAAAATTAGTAATTGGCTTCACAAGAAAAATTACCCTAAAAAGTTAATTTAATGTAGCTCTGGAACTAAGGCAGAATAATCAGGGCTCATGAATCTCAATATAGTCCAACCCAGATACTCCCTATCACTCATGGAGGCCGGGCCAAAGAATGGGATCCTCACCTTCAGAACCACTTTTTGAGGACTTGGCTGCAGCTCAGAGCAGTCTAGGGCAGGATGAGAAATGATGAATCATGTGTGTCTCTGAAGCAATCCTCCCACTGGAGCTGGGGTAGAAGGACCCTGTGTGATTGGCTGCAGACTCTCCGCAGTGCAGCTTCTCCTGTGCTGAGATGGATGTGAGTGAGAATGGAAGAGGTCTTGATTCACAGTTTCTCATCTTTAAGTTTTTGCTTTTTGCCCTTAAGACCACATCTAGAGCCTTCAAGTGTCAAAGGAGCATGTTGGAACATGGTATCAGAAGTAGTTTTGGAAATGTTGGATTTAAAATTTAAAAAAAAAATTTCCAAGGTCTGATAATTTATTTGTTTTTCTTTTTTAATTTTATTAATTACAGTTTATTCACTTTGTATCCCAGCTGTAGCCCCTCCTCCATCCCTTCCCTATCTCACTCACCCTCCCTCGTCTCCTCCCATGCCTCTTGCCCAGTCCAATGATAGGGGAGGTCTTCCTCCCCTTTCCTCTGACCCTAGTCTATCAGGTCTTATCAGGTCTGGCTGCATTGGCTTCCTCTGTGGCCTGGTAAGGCTGCTCTCCCCTCAGGTGGAGGTGATCAAAGAGCCAGCCCTTGTTCCTATTACTATAGAACCTACTTGGACACTGAGTTGCCATGGACTACATCTGTGAAGGGGTTCTAGGTTATCCCCATGAATGGTCCTTGGTTGGAATATCAGTCTCAGAAAAGACTCCTGGGCCCAGATTTTTTGGATCTGTTGCTCTCCTTGTGGAGCCCCTGTCCCCTCCAGGTCTTTTAGTGAATATTTGTGATGTAGCTTTGGTTTGTGGTCCCTTGAAAGAAATTTGTTACATTTCATCTATCAGAATCATGTGTTTTTATTTCAAATGAGAATTAGTTTTCTTGCCTTCAGAACTCACTAGTGTCTCAAATATAAATCCCAATGTGAATAAGGATGTGAAGGGAGCATGAAAAGAGATGTATAGAATATAGAAAGTCTGGCAGAGCGTTTGGGTTTTAATGGCTTGATAAGTGGCAAAAATGCTGACTCTCAGCCTCTCTCCACAAACCAGCTCTTCTATTTGACCGCCCTCCCCAGAAGATACTTCAGTAACCAAATACAACTTGTGGTGGGCACTCTGGAGTGGCTCTCATCGCCTCACATTCATTTGTGTCATGCCTTTTCCCCGCACATGGGTGGGATGAGTGATGTGTTAACCATTAGAACATTCTAAAGATGAGAGAGTATATGTGATTGACTGTGCATTACTAGGACAGTGAGGTAGCTCAGTGGGTAAAGGAACTTGCTGCCAAGCCTGATGAGCTGAAGTCAATCCCCGAGACTTACAAAGTAGAAGAAAAGCATTGTCCTCTGACCTCTGCATATGCACCATTAATGCCTATGCCCACCCTGTATGCACACAATGAATGAAAGAATGTAATAAAAGGCAAATATAAATTGTTATGTTACAAAAGGCTGTAACATGGATTTTGCAAGAAGACTTTCTTTGTGGACTCAGAGGAAGCAAGACACCACTTGGGGAAGACTCAAATGGCAAGAAACTGACAGCAGCCTTTGACCAGTAGCTGGCAAAAAGTTGAGGCCATCTGTCTAGCAGCCTGTGAAATAATGAGTATTGCCAACAACCACATGACCTTGGAAGTGATTTCTCCCTGTCTAAGCTTTGGTGAACCTTCATTACAGCCTTCCAATACCACAGCAAACAGCCCAGCTAAATGTGCTGACAGATGACCTGCAGTGACTTTGACATAATAGATGCTATTTTAATTTGCTAAATTCTAGTATTGTTTTACAGCAATAAGAAACTAATGTAGATTTTTGGTCCTCAACATAACCATTGTTTATTATAATATTTATGCTTCATTTTATTCATTTTTTCCCATTTGTGGATTTGCAAGTATTTATGCATGTATGTATGTCTCTGTGCTATAGTGGACACATGGAAGTGAGAGGACAGCTTACCAGCAGGAGTTGGTTTTCCACCATGTAGAGTCTGGGGATCAAACTCCAGTTGTCAAGTTCAATAGCAAGGCAAGCACCCTTACGCAGCCCTGGCACACTGTTGCTGCTGCTCCTCCTCCTCCTTCAAAGCATCTTATTACATCCTTGCTATCCTTGAACTTTCAGTTTTTCTGCTTCAGCCAGTGGGACGTTGGGATTCTAGATGTATAATTCCATATTCAGCTTCATTACATATTTTGGTCAGAGGAGACTTAGAGAGCTCGGGTTCTTTGGATCCTTGAAGAAAAGTTCGCTCTTTTACTAACGGCGCCTGTGGTGGCTGGCTGGCGTATAGATTATTAGCCTCTAAAGGCTCAGGCATTTGAACGCGTGGTCCCAGAGTTGGTGGACGGTTTATGAAGGATTAGGAGGTGTGGCCTTTTTGGAGGAGGTGTGTCACTGCAAATGGTCTCTGAGGTTTCACACCAGGCATAGTCTCTCCTCCTCTGCCTCCGTTTTGCCAGTAAGATGTAGACTTTGAGCTACTGCCTTTATCCCAAGACTCCCTGCCAGCCAGCACAGTCCTCTCCATATTGATCTATGGAACTGCCAGCAAGTCCCCCAATTAAATGCTTTCTTATAAAAATAAATTGTCTTGTCATGACGTCTCTTCACAATAACTAAGGACAATAACTAAGACGGTGACTTTGACCGTATTTCTCAAGGCAAAGGACATATTTTCCCTTATTTGTAGAATGATACTGCATATACTGTTTTTACAGTTTTCTGCTCAAATTCACGAATTTTCATGTGTCATGTTAAGAATTGTCAACATACATTCCAGATGCAGATACTGTTTAAATAGTGGTAACAATCTAAAATAATTTTACTATCCTAACCAGTTTTAATAAATTCAATTGTAAATGAATCTCTCAAACTGTTTCAACTTACACATCTGTAACTCTTCACTCATCAAACACAAACTCCCCTTCTCATCTCTTTACCCCTAAGAATCACGACTCTCTTTTATGAATCTATTTTTAGAAAGCTCATATAAGTGGAACCACACAACATTTAGTTTTTAATTTTTTAAAAATTATTTTCTACGTCTGATGTTTTGCCTGTGTGTGTGCATGTGCACCAGGTGCACCCAGTGCCCATGGAGGGAAGGAGAGGACATCAGATCTCCTGGGACTGCAGTTACTGAGGGTTGTGATCTGCCATACAGGAGTTGGGGGTCAAAGTCTGGTCCTCGGTGAGAGCGTCAAGAGTGGCTAACAATTCAGCTATCTCGACAGCTCCACAGTGTTATTTAAAAAATTTTATTAATTATGTATTATAGTTTATTGTACCCCAGCTGTGACCCCCTCCCTGATCTCCTCCCAATCCCACCCTCCCTCCCTCCCTCTTCTCCTCCCTATGCCCCTCCCCTAGTCCACTGATAGGAGAGGTCCCACAGTGTTATTTTTAAGTTCCTGGTTTATAGATTTTTTTTTAATTTTTTTTTACACTTTATTCACTTTGTATCCCCCCATAAGCCCCTCCTTCCTCTCCTCCCGGTCTCACCCTCCCTCCCCCTTCTTTACCCATGCCCCTCCCCAAGTCCACTGATAGGGGAGGTCCTCCTCTCCTTTCTGATCTTAGTCTATCAGTTCTCATCAGAAGTGGCTGCATTGTCATCTTCTGTGGCCTGGTAAGGCTGCTCCCCCCTCAGGGGGAGGTGATCAAAGAGCAGGCCAATCAGATTGTGTCGGAGACAGTCCCTCTTCCCATTACTATGGAACCCACTTAGACACTAAACTGCCATGGATTACATCTGTGCAGGGGTTCTAGGTTATCTCCATGCCTGGTACTTGGTTGGAGTATGGGTCTCTGGGAAGACCCCTGTGTTCAAATTTTCTGGTTCTGTTGCTCTCCTTGTGGGGCTCCTGTCCTCTCCATAACCTACTATTTCCCTTAGTCAGGGTCCTCTCTCTTGATTAGTTTCTTTAGTGTACAGATTTTAGTAGGTTTATCCTGTAAGTCTATATGAGTGAGTATATACCGTGTGTGTCTTTCTGTTTCTGGGACAGCTCACTCAGGATGATCCTTTCCAGGTCCCACCATTTACCTGCAAATTTCATGATTTCCTTATTTTTCATTGCAGAGTAATACTCCATTGTGTAGATGTACCACAATTTCTGCATCCATTCTTCAGTTGAGGGGCATCTGGGTTGTTTCCTAGATTTTTTTTAACGTTTAGCACACTGTTCTTGTAACGTTTATCCGTATTGGTTTTTTTTTGTGACAGAATTTACTTCCTTTTAAAAATATATTTTCTATTATAAAATTGTCCAAGTATAAAGAAAGATAAAAAAGCTGATGACAAATTACCTGAATATTTTGGTCTCAGAATATACAGACAACAGTATGTAGTGAATGAGCCCATATTAGTAGGGAAAAACAACTAATTTTTCATACTTTGGTTGGTATTCCTACAAGAATATTTATAGAGGTAATAAATATACAATATCTGAAATAGACATTATAGCTAAAAAAACTAATTCATATTGTTCCTATAGAGAAGCTGCTAAACCAATAATAAAACAGCAAACTATAATTACATAAGATACAGTTACATAGAGCACAACAAACACTATTTTTTTTAATAAACATATGAGGAGTTACCATCTGCTAAGGCTTCAATCCTATTGTCCACTCATAGAAACAACTGCTTTGGAATCCTAGTTATCATACTCTTAAAAACATGGAGAGTAAGAATTATCTGAGAACCCAATTCCATCATTTCCCATTCCCAATTATGAACCATTCAGAATGTATCACTATAGTTAATTTCAGTGACCAAGCACGGAGGAGAATTCACCTGCAAGTTTTCTCTCAGTTTTTTCATTTCAAATGACAGACACATTTTTTTTTTTCTGAAGAAACAAAGTAACTTCTCAAGATTCCCATACAAATGCACAGATGCAGTACAGTAGCTTAGACACATCACCTTAGACTAACATTTGGCTTACTTAGGTCGATCTATTTTTCTTTTTACTTTGGCTTTTCAGTTGTTTCTCACTGCGCTGCAGTATGGAGACCAAGTGCATAAGCCTTCGAGACAGCGGGAGGACCCGTCAGCTGTGGCTTGATACTGAGCTTTGTGTTTACTGTTTACAGGTATGGTTAAGTGGAATGTTCACTCTTCATAGTCTGTCTAGTTTTTAAAATTGCTTGAACCATATTTAAAAACATGATTCAAACTATATAGGCCAACTATAGTACATTTTAAAAAAGGTATTTCTTTTATTTTTGAGGTTATAAAATAATTACATCATTTCCCCCTTCCTTTTCCTCCATCCAAACCCTACCATACACCCCTCCATGTTCTCTTCCAAATTCATGTTCTCTCTATATCTTTTTATTTCAAATTTGTTATTTGGGAGGGATTTGGATACACAGTGATTCAATTTCCTGAAAGTGCAAATCTAAGATTTTCTCTACTGTGGCCTCCTTTGAACTGTAGACTCACCCTTTGAAACATAGGTGATACTTTTCTTAGGAAATCATATAGCTACAAATATTTCATAAAGACCACAAAATGTGGGATCTTACACAGTTTACTAAGTTCCTGAGAACATCAGAAGACATGATGTTTCATGCCAGATGATCTAGTCCACAATGAGGCTTCTCCCCTTTGTCCTCAAGGCTGCTTTGTCGACAGTTTATTGTATTTCAATGGTAGTTATTTATTCAGCTCTGTTTACTTGCTGCCACACACGGAGTAATCCCATAGCACCATATTCAGATTTATAACGGGCAACTCTTAATATATTTAAGGCCTTCGAGTTCTTCATAATCTAACATCAGGCACTGATAGAAAGGACTAAATACAGATAATTGCACTTGGCAGATAGGGTAGTAGGACACTTCTCTCTCTCTCTCTCTGCTCCACACACTGGGTGTGTGTGTGTGTCTGTGTGTGTGTGTGTGTTTGTGTGTGTGTGTCTGTGTGTCTGTGGGTGTGTGTGCGCGCGCGCGTATATGCAATGGAAATCAGATAACAGACATTATAGATAATGAAAGGTACAGAAAGATAACCTTTGAACATACATTTGAAAGATGGTTTTTGGTTAGGAAAAAAATTATCTTTTTTTTTTTTTAAAGCAAAAAGGATGCTAGGGATTGCCTGAATTGGAGCTACTTGGTACAGGATGTAAAAGCATATAAGTGGAATGAAGTCTAGGAGGAGGGCGACAGTCATTACAAGCAGTCATATGCAGGACAGTGCCTTTTCTGTGGTGATGATTAAGATAAAGTGGATGAAGAATAGGTTATCTGGGAAGAGGGGGAACTGGTCCAATCATGAGTATTAGAGGCAATAAAGATCCAGACTTGGGCTACAGCTACGAAATTAAATTGTAATTTTCAGATGTCTTCAGGGGGACTCCAGTCAACTTAACATCCAAATACAGTATAAGAAATCCCTAGGGAAAATATTTCCAAACATTTTGCCTGTTGTCATAGATACTTCAGTACTAAAAGGAAGAAAAAAAAACATACTTTCAAAGGAAACACGAGATGGCAGCAGTTTTATCATATAAGGAGAAAGACTGGGAAAGAAAACCATTTAAAATTATTTTTTTAAATAAGAAATACAGAGTCTCTTATTCTTTCTGCCCTGTGTTTCTTTGCAGTACAGAGGCTGTTTGGTCACTGGCTGCATTCTGAAGCATGTGTGGGTTCCTCTGACAATGGTAAATGCCTCCACTGCACAAGACTGTTGCTTCAAATAAAACTGTTGCTGTTTCTGCAGATTACTGTTGGTTTTCACTGTCTGTCGCAAAAGAGTCCTGTAGAGTACAGATTTGTTTTAAATGTTCCAGCATCGTTTTTTCTTTCTCTTCCAGTATTTCATCTTTCCTCATTTCCCACCTAAAAGAAAAATAATAATAAAAACAGTATTTTTTATAACTCTTAAACAGTAAACACACACACACACACACACACACACACACACTGATTATATAGTCACTGATTTATTGGGTGTCAGTTTTCCTTGTCTGTTCTCTGCTGACTGCCTCTTGGGTAACTGTTCATTGGCATGACTTGTGGATGAATGGGAGAGGAAAACAAAGTCATACTTGAGAGGCCAACTGAGCATAAAATTTTCATGTATTTTGTCAAATGTGGTTTCTGTATTTTCCAGACTTAAAAGTGCATATAATACATTTCTTTTCCTATATGCGGTGTTAAGTGCTACGGGTCACAGGGAAGTTTGCAGTAAGAGAATATCAACTGAACCAGCACACTTGAAGGGACAGCAACCTAACACTAGAACTGCAATCAGTCTGGGAATAATCAAGGTAAACCGCAAAAAAAAGAAGCAGAGACTAGCAAGTTTCTATAAAACACTCACTTGAATTCTTTATAGTTCTGAACAATTAGCCAAGTATAAGAATGTAGACCTGTATAAATATATAACCTTGCAATGTAAATGAAATAACTTTACTGTTCATTTCCTTGCATGTAGCACATAGCAGCACCTGAAACTTGCCAGGGCAACTGCACCTCGGATTGCAACAGGGATCTTCCGTTCCTTCCTTCCTTCCTCCTTTAGCTTTTCCACCATTTGTTGTGCTCCCTCATTGTGTGGTAGTTCAGAGGAGATGCAACACTCAGTGCTGCTCTATCCTAAAGACCTGCTGTCAAGGCTCACTGGCGTCCCCACTCCAATGGACAGCTCTCACTGACCATCCTCCTAATGCTCTCTGTGATTTTAGTATCAGAGCCTCCAGTTAACACACAGTCTCACAGAGTGCGTGAGTGCAGGGCTCAGCTCATTGGTTCTGTCTGAACAGTGCAAAGAAAGCACAGACATGTTTTCCATAGACACTTCAGGTTTCCTGTTGCAAGGCAGCTTCCATGCTCTCTGGGCAGCCATGAGCATTTGCTTACATGTCAGGGGGGGGCTTAGATGGCAACACTACACCTCCTGGTCGTTCACCCTTTACCTGGGCTTTTCCTCATCATCTGGGTCCAGTCCAGTGTGGACCGTAAGTCCTCCACCTGATCCCTCATGGTAGGAATTAGATCACCAGCTAGAGAAACTTTGAAAGAACTTGAAAGATGAAAATAATTTTCACTACTATGTTATTAAAAAAAATCATATCATCTGAGCAAATACTTCCAAGATAAATTATTTTGAGATTTATAATTTGCCCTACAAAGTCACCTTGTCCTTTAGTGGAAGCTTTGAGATGGCATCTTGTTAGGTATCTTAAGCTGGCTTGGAACTTGCTATGTAGTTCAGGGTGCTTTAGAACTCTCTTTCTCTCTTAAAATCTATCTATCTATCTATTTATTTATTTATTTATTTATTTATTTATTTATCTATTTCTTTATTGATTTATTTATTGTATGAGTGTTTTGTCGACTGGTATTTCTGTTTGCCATTCTGTGCCTGGTCCCAGTGGAGGTCAGAAGAGGGCTCCAGATGGCCTGTAAAAGGAGTTACACTATGTGAGTGCTAGGAATTGAACTCAGGCATTCTGCAAGAGCAGCTAATGCTCTTAAGAGCTGAGCCATCTGTCCAGCCCCTTTGGTTTAGGATTCTTGATCCTTCTGCCCCACCCTCCTCAGTGTTGGGATTACAAGTGTGCACCACTATGTCTCATGTGGAATTTGAATGTGAAAACATGTTAAAACTACCTATTTCATAAACATGTATTGGGGAATTATTGTAAGTATGTCTTTCACACTGAATTCCACAATGGAGAGAGAAATAATACTAACAAATTAGACAGCACTGTGGGACTCTGCTGTTGAAGCCTGGCATATCCGGAGAGCCAACTGAGCTCGGCCTATTTTCTCAGCAAGGTTCTTTCTTCACCAGATTTGGTAAGGTGCATCACGTATCCTTCAGAGAGGATCACAGGTCTGACCCTTTCCTGATAAGAAAACCTGTTTATCAGGCACCTGGGGCTTCCTGGAGATACCCACCCTATGCTAATGAGATGCCCTGCTCTCCTGGCTTAGTTCTTCCCCCTCCCATAGGATAATTAAGTACTATGTTCTCCTCCCTAGATCACCGTGCTGCTGCATGGAGATGAGGTCCTGGACCGAGACATGTAAATTAAGTATCCCTGGCACCTCTGACTCATAAATTAAACACACTCTAGACACCCCTCCCACTGCCCAAGGTTTATAAGTCCTTGATTTCACATAAAATAAACATGTGTGCTGCGTGCTACCATCAGCTTTTCACCACCGCCACTTGAGATTTATTCTGGGGCAGTGAGGGCTCCCCTCCTTCCTGGAGATTTCACCACTAAACTCTTGGGGTCTGGCTGCCAGCTAGGCTGGCTGTACACTGCCCAATCGCCACAAGCGGCCAGTGGGCCAGCCACGCACTGCTGTGAGCTTCCGCTCTTCACTGGGGTGCAGCACTGTCTCACCAGACCTGCCTTCTGGGCAGTTTCAGGCCTCTGCGATGCTAACTGAAGAGCAGCCACACTTCGGTGTTGCCATGGGCTTTGGAACACCTGAATTTCCACTGCCACCATCGATCTCATTTCAAAAGAGCTAACTAACTCTATCACTCTGTGGAAAACTCTTTCCACACCCTGGTCGGGCACATGGGCCTAGTCCTGAAGTGCTCTAGCCATTTCCTGGGAGAAACAAAACTCTGATCCTCACTGCTTTGTTCTTCGTCTGGAAGCCAACAGCTGCGGCCCAGACTTCTGCTGGAAGAACGACACAGCACTAGCTGTGGGTTGTTTTAAGCGCTTTAGAGATTCCTCTTTAAGTTCTTCAAATGTGAGTGTTTTAATTCTACGAATGAGAATGAACCAAGGCACACCAAGATAAAGTCACTTGGATGTGAACTCTAGAAAGCAGATGAGATACGTATGACAAGCATGTCCACAACCTTAGGACAATTAGTCTTCAAAATAGTTGGGGCATGGGCAGGCGAGGTGGCTCAGGGGGTAAAGGCTCTTCCCCCAAAGCCTCACAGCCTAAGTCAATCCTGACAGCCTATACGGGAGGAGTGAACTGAGTCCCGAACGCTCTCCTCTGACCTCCACCCACATCACGAGATGCCCCAGCCCCTAAATCCATTACGAAAATACCTGAGGTAGGGAAATGGCCCAATTGTTGGCCATTTCCTAGCATATTCAAGAACTAGGGTTTCATTCCAAGTTAAAGAAAAAAACAAAACAAAACAAAAACGGCTTAGTATTTCATTTTCTGAAAAATATTTCCTAAATTGTGTCAGATATTAAAAAGGATCGTATACTTTTATGCGCAATCCAAACACGTTTGCCTTCCTCCCGCCCCCTTCCCTGTATGTAAAGGTGCTAATATTGCCTGAGTAAATGAATTATTTTAAGAACATCAACAGAAGAAAATATGTAATGCACACATAAATATTTTGATCATTGTCTCTACTTGTGAAGTGAAGATTAAAAGCAGTCTCTCTTCTTCATTAAAAATCTGTATAATTAATGTAATTTAAATGAATTATATACATAATAGAGTCCATGATAAGGATTCTTAAGCTTCATGACAATTATAGCACATCACAGTATAATTGAACGCTGGTAATTAATGACATTAAACAAAATTATTTACCTACCACAGCATATATCTGCTTTATGCTTATAAGGAAGAAATCGTTTTATACAAGGATAACAACAGACATGAGGTATAAAGGTAATAGATTACATTTTTCTAATTATTTTATTATTGTTAGATAAAAGCACCAGATGCTTGAGGTGTTTGTCACAGTCATGCTACATGCCACGCTCACACGCTGCTAAGAGGAGTTTATCTCTAACTGCTAATACAGTGCAAACCAAACTTCGTCAAGAGTTACCAGGAGGGAAACTAATCTACCAATTTGTCAAATACCGATGTACAACACACTCAACATCGTTATCTGCAGCTTCTCCCGACATAGTAAACATCTGTGATGGAAGCATTTCCCAACAGAAATCAGAAGGTCTGAGAAGCATGAATTCTAATACTCACTGAAAAGCTTTAGAGCAAACATGTGGTGACTCTCATTTTGTTCATCCTGACTTCGTAGCCTGTTTCTTCTACTAAGTTTCCTAGCTGCACACCCCGCTTTGCTATGTTTTTTTATACGGACGAGCAGTAGAATCTCATTAGATCCCACTGATCTATGTCATAAGTATCTCTACCTTCTAGAAGAGGTCCCATCTGTATGTTGCCTGGTGGGGGGAGCTTGGCCATAGAAAAGGACTCTGGGTCCTTTTCTACCGAATCCAGTAGAGACTCCAACTAAAACCTTTCCGGAGATAGTCCACGGTATAAGTCATCCGCGCCATCCTGATTGACATGGGTGTTCTAAGCCTTCACCCATTTCACTTACATGGTTACCGCAGGACAGCAGCGGGGTCTGGTGACCACTGCAAATATCTTAACATGAGGTACTGCTTATGGCTCTTGAGTGTGTCAGATCATGGGCTCAGAATTTTCTATTCCTTTTCACTTCGGTGGGCAATAGTTTATTTGGTTCCTAGGAACACTTAAGGTATCACAAATAAAAGTCACATGTCAGTGAATAGCTGTTGTGGTGACTGATTTCTCGGAACCTTGTCTTGGGGGAGGATTTTGTGGGGGACTGTGTTTCAGAGCCAACCAGGACTGCCATGTTTGGGGACATGGTTAATCATGGCATAGGTCAATGGTAGCACCAGCCCAGTTATCAAAAGAGGTAAATCCTGCAGGGCCTTTAATGTGGGAAATCAATCATGTCTGGAACATGAGCCTAAACCCTGGAACTGCTCTGACTTTGAGATGAATTGGAACCTACGGCTTGCTAGTTGAATCCTCTCAGGAGTTTCTGAACCTCTCTGTCTCAGTATTTTATCTGCAGAATCGTGCCAGAAGAGTTTGGGCGGACTACA